TTGTATGTTTTCTTTTCTATTATGTTATTTTCTGTCTCATTTTTTTGTGCAATAAAGGATATATATATATATATATATATATATATATATATATATATATATATATATATATATATATATATATATATATATATATATATATATATATATATATAAAAGGATATATATATTAATTTTTGTATGTAAATAATATATTCCTTCATGTATCTGATAACATCCATCATAGATAATCCTGATTTGTGATATGATGCGAATTATATATCATATCTTTGAAAGCAAATAGTGATAGATTATTATCAATTACTTTAGTTATAGTATGATCAAGATGATATTTATAGCTTCTGGATGATCTACAAATTTGAAATTCTATTCTGACAAAATCTATAGATATGTTATATTAATAGTGTTGGCGCAAACGCCTATTAAAATTATGGAGCAATTTAGCATATGAACGTTACGGAACGATTTAGATGTAAGGCGCTTCGTTTATTGTAATTTAATTTTTTATCTACGCCTTTTAATATCTCCTCGTTAAATACTATCAAAATCCGCAACATGGTCCTTTTCGAGCCTGGATGTGAATAAACCAGTTCAAATTAAAGAAAATTTATCAAGGATTTATTATATTGTTGGACATCAAGAAATATTATATACGCGGCTGGGAATCACTGCATGATTTGTTGCGTCATCCAGAGGATAACTTGGACGCTGATATAATAAGAAGATCCTGTGGTCAGGATACCCAGTGGTGAACTCATAAAGGTCTTGATGATTATTAATTCCCAACACTCTTAAGGTAGTATTTAACGTAATATAATGTGCTTAAGGTTAGTATATGTTTGTTAATACTGTAACGTGAATTAAATTATACGAATATAATTATAATAAATTTAATTTAACTTAATTAAGCCTAGTTAAATTATTTTATTAATTATGTTGCAAAGATCTGTCAAAGAGTAGTTATCAAAGAGTATAAAATAACTGCATTATAAACGCTTTGTAAGGTCATAAAGGTTATTTGCAACATCACTTTACGGTTATAATTTATTAAGATTTCAGTTTATTTAGCTTTATTAATATTGAAGTTAAAGTAATTTTGGTAAGTTCTTATACAGTGCTAACTTGTAACTTGTAGTTATTTAAATTTTATTTTTTGTACTGTTAAATCTTTAAAATATTGTCGTATTGTTTATTATTACAGTCTGTAACTAGTTTAAATTGTTGAGTTGTATAAATTCTCACTTTGATTTGTATCAATTCCAGATTGTTACACCAGCCTTCGCAATGCCTGAGGATAAGGAGTTAACTAGGAAACGTGCGACTTACAAAGGGAGGTTAACTTTCTTTTCTAACTATTTGAATTCATTGGATCCTTCAACATTGAACACCTCTGAGGTTAGTGAGTTACAGTTACGTTTGAGTAGGCTCGAGGCTATGTATGAACAATACGATGTAGTGCAGGTTTCATTGGAATGCAATACTGACAATATGGATAGTCAATTGTTAGAACGTAGCGAGTTCGAATCCTTTTATTATAAGTCTATATCTCGAGCTCAAGAAATAATTGCAAATTATAAGAAAAAGGATCAAGCAAATAGTGACGCGACATTTATTTCTTGTAATCATAAATTTGTAAAGTTACCAACGATTCAATTACCAAAATTCAACGGATCCTATACAAACTGGCTAGAGTTTCATGACACTTTTGTGAGTTTAATACATTCAAATGATGACATGAATGATATTAATAAATTTCATTATTTAAGATCCTCTCTAGAAGGATCTGCTGCTGTGGTAATTAACTCAATTCAGTTTTCGGCTGCGAATTATTCTGTGGCTTGGCAACTACTTTGTGATCGATTCGATAATAAGCATTTATTAACTCAGCATCATGTATCAACATTATTTAATATCGATGTTATTCATAAGGAATCGTCAGTAACATTAAAACATTTAATAGATCAGATAAATAAAAATTTGCGTGCACTAGAATCACTAGGTGAACCTGTTAATCAGTGGGATACTCTTTTAATCTATATTATCACACATAAATTAGATAATAAAACATATCGTGAATGGGAGGAGTACAAAGGCAACCTAGAAAGGAATTCAAAAATTACGTTTTCTATATTCTTAACTTTTATTAAGAATCGAGCTGATATAATAGAAACTTTAGAACTTTCAAATTCATCAGGTAATAAAAATGCAAACACATTAAAAAATGTTAAAGTCAAGACAATGTTTGTACAAGATTATAACAATAAAGGTAGCTCTCGTGATGATAAAAATAATTTAAGTTCATTTAAACCTAAAAAGTGTCAAAAGTGTAGCGGTGACCATAAATTAAGTTCGTGTCCTGAATTTTTGGCACTGTCATGCGAAGCACGTTTGCAAATTTTACCTAGCTATAAAGTTTGCTTTAATTGTTTGTCTATGGGTCATTATGCCAACAACTGTAAGAAGGCAGGCTGTAAAATATGTCGCCGCAAACACCACACTCTTGTACACGTTACTGAACATTCAAAATTCAAAAATACTTCCTCTGTTCAAAAAACTGTTAATGTAAATGATACGGGTAATAATGCAACTATGTCCGCTCAATCAAATCAAAGCGCAAACTTATCATTAACTGCAAAAATTGAACACAATGTTTTACTTTCGACTGCATTAGTAAATGTGATAGGGAGAAACAATATAGTTTACACCGTTCGTGCTCTTCTCGATAGCGGTAGCACGTCCTGTCTTATGACCGAAGCATTGTAAAGGGTGTTTTTTTTAGAGATATACAACTTTAAGTTGCCAATACTTTTATAACTGGCAGTTATTTTGATAGCTGTCCAGTGATTTGTGTTTAATTTGGTTTGGCAATTCATCATGAATAGACTAACGCCTGAACAACGCCTCCAAATTGTGCAAATTTATTTTGAAAATCATGGCTCTGTTCGAGAAACGTATCGCGCACTACGTCCATTTTAAGGTTAACATAATCGTCCATCAAAATAATTAATTTAATTAACAATGGATCGTTTACTCTAAATGGTAATAAGCATCCACAGAGATGGCCTACAGTGCGTACAGAAGAAGTTATTTCTGCTGTAGAGCATAGCGTAGAAGAAGACGCGAATCAGTCTATCCGCCGAATAATTGGTCCGTACTTCTTTAGAAACGATGCTGGCCAGAACGTTACAGTAAATGATGACCGCTACAGAGCGATGATTAGTGGCTATTTCGTTCATCAATTAAACAACCATAATGTTCAGGAGTTCTGGTTTCAACAAGATGGTGCAACATGTCATACAGCTCGTGCCACAATTGATTTATTAAGAGAAACATTTGGTAACCGCATAATTTCATGTTTCGACCCGTGAATTGGCCCCCAAGATCATGCGATTTAACGCCGCTTGATTATTTTCTGTGGGGATATGTAAAGTCGTCAGTCTACGCTGATAAGCCCGAAGCCGTTGATCACTTGGAGGATAACATTCGTCGCTCTATTGCCGATATACAGTCACGAATGTTGGAAAAAGTCGTTGAAAATTGGACCTCCAGACTAAACTACGTACGAGCCAGTCAAGGAGGTCATATGCTTGAAATCTTATTTTAATTATAATGAAAGAATATTATCTTTTCAAAATATTATATTTCATATCAATAAAAGAAACCATTTTTGTTTTATTTTATTTCAAAGTTCTATACCTCTAGAAAAAACACCCGTTACAAGCAATTGGGACTTTCTGGTCACAATATAAATAATTCAGTGATGGGCATCAATAATTCCTTGTCGCAAATTAATAAAATGTGCTCTGTAGTAATAAAATCTATAAATAATGATTATATGGTAAATATCAACTGTTTTGTGTTAACATCCATAACTGAGAATGTTCCTAATAGCTATATAAATCCGTCAAGCCTTAAAATCCCATCCGATATCTGTTTGGCTGATCCAAATTTTAATACGCCGGCTCCGATAGACTTATAACTAGGTGCTGATATATTTTGGGACCTGTTAGGATCGAACATAATTAAATTAGGACCAGGGCAACCTATTCTTTGTGACACTAAGCTAGGTTGGTTAGTTTCTGGGCCAACGGGTATTGCTATGTCTTTGCCCTTTACAAAAAGTAAGTGCTATTTAACAAAGCTCATCTCAGATGATGAGGATTATCTGAATGACAATATTCAACATTTGCTTACGCGGTTTGCAACTAGAAGATGTTTGTACATCATCAAATCATTCACCTGAGGAAATATTATGCGAAGATCATTTTGTAAAAAATACTACGCGTTTAGAAAACGGTCAGTTTTGTGTAAAAATTCCTTTAAAATATCCTTCTGACCTCCTAGGTGAATCTTTATCTTGAGCAAAGCATTGTTTTTTATCGTTAGAGCGCAGATTTAAGGGTAACTTACAATTCTGTGAAATGTATAAAAGTTTTATGAAGGAATACGAGCTCTTAGGTCACATGTCACTATGTGACACTACAAACAAAGACGCACATTTTATTCCGCATCATGGAGTCATACGTGAATGTAGTACTACAACAAAATTAAGAGTAGTTTTTAATGCTAGTAGCCCGACAAATACTGGTGTTTCTTTTAATAATTTACAAATGATAGGACCCGTAGTACAGGATGATCTGTTATCCATCGTAATTAGATTTAGACAACATAAATATATAATCGCCGGAGATATCGAGAAAATGTACCGGACTATAGTGGTTCATCCTAATGACAGACACTTGCAACAGATTGTCTGGCGTGATAACCCTCTATCTCCACTTCAAACGTATCAACTAAATACTGTCACCTACGGCACGGCTAGTGCTCCGTTCTTAGCAACCAGATGCCTTCGTCAATTAGGTTTAGAGTGTAATAATCAAAAGGTTTCAGAAATCATTCTGCATGATTTTTATGTAGATGACCTCCTTACAGGGGGAGATGATATGGTTGAAGTCGAGCATTTGCGTCAAGAGATAACTTTAACGCTAGCATCAGCCCAAATGAATTTAAGAAAATGGAAATCAAACTTGCAGTTACTTAACGGATGTGACACGTCGCAGTCTTCGTTAGACTTAAATATTGGAGGCCTTGAATCGACTAAAACATTAGGTTTAGGATGGCAGGCAATGTCTGATGAATTGTGTTTTCCCATCAGTGATTCAGTTATCGACAGTAATAGTAAACGTGAAATGCTTTCTGTTATTTCACAGATCTTTGATCCTCTAGGCCTTTTAAGTCCTTGTGTAATGACAATGAAAATGTTGCTTCAAAAATTATGGTTACACAAACTGTCTTGGGATGAACAACTGCCTCCGGAAGTTAATAAACTTTGGTCCGAATTGATTGTTGATTTACCGGAATTAAATAAAATTAGGATTCCACGACGTGTTATTATTGATTCATACAAATATTTAGAATTTCACATTTTCTGCGACGCGTCGGAACGAGCGTACGGAGCGTGCCTATACGTACGTAGCGTTAGTGACGAGGGTGATGTATTAGTGCGTTTATTAGTAGCTAAAGGTCGAGTTGCTCCGCTTAAACCCACAACTATTCCGAGGTTGGAACTTTGTGGTGCCCTGGTAGGAGTCCGCATATATGAAAAGGTTATTGCATCATTACGAGTACGACCAGCACGAACCTTTTTTTGGAGTGATTCTATGATAGTACTAGGCTGGTTAAAAATGTTGCCAAATAAGCTTCAACCCTTTGTCCGGAATAGAATTGCAGAAATTTTAGATAAGACAGCCAGTTGTGAGTGGAGACACGTTCCTACTGATAAAAACCCCGCGGATTATATTTCACGTGGTGTCGCATTTAAGTTAATAAGTGATTTGAAAGAATGGTGGTCGGGACCAGAATTATTGATGAAGGATATGTCATGTTGGCCAACTAAACCTTTACATTCAAATGATGATACACTACCGGAAATGAAATCAAATATTACTATTTTACATGCTTTAGTCAACAATGATGAATTAAATATATTAATTAATTTTAACTCTTTTTCTAATTTTCTACGGCTTAGGCGTACTTTAGCTTGGGTTTTACGATTTGTTGATCTGAAATGCAAAAAGATAAAGTATATTGGTCCTTTTAGTAGTAAAGAATTACAAAGAGCTTTAAATGTTATAATACGTGCATCTCAAAGTGAATCATTTATAGAATATAAATTATTGATAAATAAAAAAGAGTTGCCTAAGAAAAGTCCGTTAAACAAATTCAAAGTATTTTTAGATGACCAAAATATCATGCGTGTCGGTGGTCGACTCCAAAATTCAAACTATCAGTATGATAAAAAACATCCTATTCTTCTACATTCCAATCATCGGTTTACAGTTTTAGTATTTGAATATGAACATAAAAGGTTATTTCATGCTGCCCCTCAATTATTATTATCTTCTATTAGAGAAATATATTGGCCTATTAGAGGACGGAATTTAGCTCGAAAATGTTACTTAAAATGTACGCGATGCTGTCGATTCAGAGGTGAAACAGTTAATCCCACTATGGGTTACTTACCACAGCAGCGACTTCTAGCTGGTTTTCCTTTTGAAAATATTGGGTTGGATTATGCAGGTCCAATCCAATCAGCAGTTCGACAAGGTCGAGGTACAAAATTAGTTAAAGTTTATATAGCCATATTTATTTGTTTTACAACAAAGTCAATTCACCTCGAGTTAGTAGGTGATTTATCTAGTAATACATTTATTTTAGCTTTAAAAAGGTTCATCTCACGTAGGGGAAAGCCGAAAAATATATATTCCGATAACGGCCGTTCATTTGTCGGTGCATACAATGACCTTTCGAGCTTTCTTAAAACGAGTTGTGATTCGGTAGCTGAAGAGATGTCAAAGGAAGGTATAAACTTTCATTTTATCCCGGCATACTCCCCTCATTTTGCTGGTCTTGCGGAGGCTGGCGTAAAATCAACTAAACATCACTTAGTTAGAGTGTTGGGCCTTTGTAACCTCTCTTACGAAGAATTGTACACCACTTTAGTCCAAATCGAAGCTATCTTAAACTCGAGACCACTGACGCCATTATCATCAAATGCCGACGATTTAACACCATTGACGCCAGGACATTTTTTAATTGGACGCCCCTTACTATCATTACCATCGCCAAACTACGAACATCGCCCTGTAAATTCCTTAACTCGCTTTCAACGAATAGAACAGCTGAGACAACATTTTTGGACTCGATGGAGCAAGGAATATATATCGGAACTTCAGATAAGAACCAAATGGAGGTCATGTAAAGGTTCGCTGAAACTCAACTCTATGGTTCTTTTAAAAGAGGATAACTTGCCGCCACTAAAATGAGAATGGGGAGAATCGTGGCTGTCCATCCCGGTCCAGATGGGATCATCAGAGTTGCAGATGTCAAGACGTCCAATGGTGTGGTTCGAAGATCATTTAGCAAAATTTGCCCACTACCCGACCTTTCTGAAGATGGAATTTCTGGTTGAAAGGGAATCTTTCAACGTCCGGGGGTATGTTGGCGCAAACGCCGATTAAAATTATGGAGCAATTTAGCATATGAACGTTACGGAACGATTTAGATGTAAGGCGCTTCGTTTATTGTAATTTAATTTTTTATCTACGCCTTTTAATATCTCCTCGTTAAATACTATCAAAATCCGCAACAAATAGTAAATGTAATAAAATGATATAAGTTACATTGCCCATAATAATATTATTGCTAATACCTACATACATATGTTGTAATTAGTAATAATATTGTATATAAACATAATGGACTTCCAACAATATATTGACTCAATAATGGTATTGATATGGATCTAGAGCCATAAAACTTAGAAACTTGAAAGATAGGAATATTAATGTCGCCGAGTAGATGTCAGTTATGATTGAACTTTACGAAATTCCCCCTACAAGAGTTGTTAAAAGGAAGTCAACAATAAAAAAAAGTCATTTGTAAAATGTAGCTCTTACATGATGCAAATTAGATATAAATCTTGTATATGTGATGTAGAAAATATCTATGATAGAATTTTGTAATAACTCATCTCCAATATTGATTACAGGAGTTGTTGTTAACAAAGAAAATTTAAAAATTTTGTGATTTAATATGTGAAGCACTTCAGTTACGGCTAGTTAGTAATAAATTTTAAAACAATATTACCTCTTTCAGACACTGTTTATGCTACTCCTGCTTTTATTAGCAAAAGGTTGAACTGTGACACGACTCGAACTGACATACAAACCATTGGTATTTGGAGTTTGGCTAGTATATGGCGTAGTCCATATACTGTTGTATGTATGGAACACTGTAACACGATAGGAATGATATACATTTTAAATATAATATTTATTTGAGTATTTATAACAATCACAAAAATCTGATTGCACATTGTTCGTATATTATAATTTGAGACTATTCTTTTAAAATATAAAGTGTATAATGCAATGCCGACAAAAATTCCTGTATTCGAGCGTCCTTCCTAAATAAAGCTTTAATTTTTGTTATCACTACATATGTGTTATTAATTTTTATTTACAGAATAGCATTTTCAAATATCAACGACCTTCTAGTGAGGGGTGGTGACTGCCTTTTGGTATTTCTTGGTCACATGCCGGTATTCGACGTATACAGACTCCTTGCCAGATCAACTCGTTGGAGTTTCTGGCTGAAAGACGTGGACCGATATGTATCGCCATATCACGATTGTCAGGTCAATTTATAACACTGATTACTTATTTTATAATAAAAATATGTTACAATAAATTGATAAAGTCCGTTTAATAATTGGTACTTGAGATCTGTTTCAATTTACAACATAAGTTAATCATATTAGTTAAAATGAAACATATATGTATGTACCTAATATTAAGTAGTTCAACTTCGGCAAGGTTCGCGTAAGAATAATCTAGTAATGAATAAGTAGTGACTTAGAACTTTTATAATGACTTTTATTCCTGCTTTATCTGTATAAATTTCAAGTACTTATTACAGAAGTAAACATTATGACATTCGAGCTCGATTGTGATATTGTCGATGTTCAAGTTATCGCAGAAACAAATTATCGTGAATTTTTAATAAAAAACTGAATATTTATGGCATTCTATAAGTTTTAAGTTTTCTGTTTATTGTTTTATAGGATCCTGAGAAAGATATAAAGAGGATGATGACGACCATAGGATTCAAAAACGTGGAAGTCAAATGTGTTCAGAAACTATTCGTGTACACTAGCGTGGAAGCCGTTAAAAGTAAATATTAAACCTAATTTATGCTATTAATTATCTATATGAAATATGTAACTGTCCTTATAGTTCCAAAAAGGTGTGATAATTTGTGAAGAAAACACATCTGTAATAATAAACAAAACAATTATATAAAATTTTTTTTTACTATAGTAATCATAACTATTAAAATATCTTTTTTTAGAGGCGGTGAATGCCGTTAATCCGTTTAAAATACCGATAGAAATGCAGGAAGAATTTTTAGAGGATTATGTTAAAATAATTCGAGATATTGCAGCTCGTGGATCACGTAAATAACAACGTAGACGGTCCTGTCCACGTGAGAACCAACTATAACCTCATTATACTCGTAGTATATGGTAAAAAGTAAACAAATAAGTTAAAACTTATTAAAACACATAGTATATAACTTTAAGAGCCGATTTCACCGGAGATTCAAAATGTTGCTACCTAAATATTTTCTATTTATATAATATGAGCTACTTTTTGGCAGTTTTCAGCTGGTGAAATGAGTTCTTAATAAAAGTATTTAATAAATTATATTTTTATTTATATGTTTATTAACTGCACAAATAAGGTACCTGATAGTACAACAATTAATATAATTACACTTAATGTAATACTTATTTATGCTATTATTATTATTTAATAATAAAGCTATGACTTTTTTTAATAATTTATATAATAACAATAAATTAAAATTAGGTTTAGTATAAGATTAAAATTGAGTTACCCTTTTAAACAATATCGCCTCCATCTTGAATAGATCTTAAATACTTGGATGTGATGTCACGATGTATTCCGCATAAACTCTGAGACTGAGTAACTGATTTTTATCATATTCCGTAACTCTGTAATTATGTTCAACTTTAAAAATTGTTTTTATCTCTATTATTAACCTTAATTTTGCCTGATTAACCACTAAGGCTGGTTGGATGTAAGAAGATAGAACCTGGAAGTAGGAATTAGGAATATTATGTTAGTCTAGGCTGAGCTAGCAAAAAGCTATTTTGATATATGTTAAGTTAATGTTAAAAGAATAGTAAATTATTTTATTTATCATTTTTGTTTTTTATTATAACTATCCTCGTATTTATATAGTTGTTGGTATTCATTGAGTCTTTAAAACAAATGACCACAATTTTATGAGGTGCACTAAATGTCAATGAAAGTTTTAGAAATACATTATCATATCATAGAAATTTAAAATATGAACTTCATCGTGAATTTACCCAGGTAATATACAGTAAGTTTACTCTTTAGGTACATTTAACTGCAGTTAATAATTTCGAATTGTCAGTATCTTAGATCCAATTATATCCAATATCAATGGTGTAAGTGGTGATATCACAATAGTGTCGATATGACGGTCGTCTGTTTAACAGTTTCTCTACAACTTAATATTGTGTCTAAAAAATAATTTGGTCTCACTAAAGCAAGTTCTCAAAACAAATAAGACCACAGCCAAAGCCAGACCTTTAACAATAAATTAAGTTGGAAATTAAACAGAATGAATTAACAATAAGATCAAGGCAAAAGTTTTAGAAGTGATATTTCTTGAAATTCTTAGATACAGATAAAACTGTTCCAGATCATTTGGTAAGTTAAGAAGACTGTTAATAACTACGTGCGAGTTTGACAACTCGAATAAAGACCAAACAATGGCCATGTTGCCTTACTAGTGAAATAAATTTGCATCCGTATGAATAAATTTTTCTATTAAAATAAATTACTAATATTTCATTTGATTTATCTAAAGCATATATATACTTGCGTAACGTTAATACGAAAAGCTCTTAACTTTTCTCATGGATTAAGTTTCAAATCTGACTATTAACAGCATTCCAGTCCCATGAATGTTTAGTGTCACGTTTCCTCAACATAAATGATATCTCTTGGAATAGGTACTGTAATGAATAGATTGCGCTATTCTACAGATATGGTATTGGAGGCAATGTCTTATATATGACGTAACACGGTCCATCTGCTTATTCACTGTTCAGGGTAAGGGAATATATGCTGGTATGCTTGGTAATATCCCTATAGTTTCCAAGAAAGATATAGGAATAAGTTATAGAACATTCAAGATGAAAACTATTATGTGATACTGATCTTATAAAACCATTTAGTAATTCATACAGCTAACAAAATGAGATTGATGTGATTAGAGCAGTCGATTTTTATTTTCCGGAGTTGGTACGTGACGAACCCAGCACCCACTGGTGTATTCCGGTGCAATCAGTCACGGGGGGGAGGGCTGGGGGTACAGCCCTGGGAGTCAGACGGTCACGGATCTGGGCAGGAGGCCGTCCGTGGCTGTCTTGGGGGGGAGAGGATACTCGAGTCTCTCCGGAGGCTTCTGACCCTTGACCCTTTATTGTGGGTAGCATGGGCCCTTCTGACCCTTGAATCCCACATAAGATCCTCTGTCTCCCCCAGAAGGAGGGGTAGGTATAAAACCTTTCACCGCGTGAACAAAAGTCGAATTCCTATTTCGTCAAAATACATCAAATTAGCAAAATTATTCGTCGCTATCCGTAATAATTTCAATTCAATAGATCCACACATTTTTGATTCAAAATTCCTAAACCGCTAACTAGCAGACGGACGACAAAAATCATATTCAAGTACTGTTGTTATCTTGTTACCAGTGGCGGCGTAAGGCGTGGGCGACGTGGGCCACCGCCTACGGCCTCGCGGTACAAGGGGCCTCGCGGCTCAAAAAAATTTAAAGGGAGATTCAAAAAATATATTTATAAATAAATGTTGTTTTGAAACGTTTTTTCTTAGACTGGCATTCTTGTTTCAACATTTGCCGCCGACCAGAGTGCGGGGAATCCCTGGATTTATTTGCTTACGTTCTTTACTTGGAAGCCAACCAATCAAAGCACGTAACGCAGTCGCTAGGCACATACCAAAATAAACGCATAATTTAATATTTATTCAATATTGTTTCCTTTTATGACTGTACTTCCCTATTTTGATAAGAATAGTGTGCAGTGTTTCCACATTGAGGGGAAATTAGGAAATTTAGGGGAAATTAGGGTCAAGAGGGAAAAGAAAAGGGGAAAGACTATAAAAGGGGAAATTGGGGAAATCAAAGATAAATGAGGGTTTTGAGGAGTAGACGTGAAATATTATTTTGTGCAAAAAAGTATGCGCTGACAGTGTTAACTGATTTGGAATAAAAAATGAGTATACAACTCCATTTTTTGTTTTTATTATATTTCTGGTCAGTCTGTAAATAAAACACAAATACGATAAATAAACGATAATTTTTAGGTGTGGCGTGTGGTGTCAAAACTACAGCAAAATAATTTTTGAGGGGAAAAAAGTCCGTAGAAGGGGAAATCTGAATTGAAGTGTGGGAAAAAGAAATCGTTCTAGTGGAAACACTGATAGTGTGTTCAACGTTTTAATAATATTTAGTTAATAAATAGATAGTGTTTAAGTACATTGGTTGCTCCTAAAAACAGTGACGTTTTTTGTTTTTGTATTCTTTGTGATTTGTAATACCAACACCGGTACATACATAAAGTAAGAAATATTAAATTGATAATAAGTATGTAACGCAGTAATTACTTGTATATAAAATACGCTTTATAATATCTTTTGAAGGAAACCAAAGCTTTAAGGGTAAAATTTTTTTAAACTAGCAGGTAGTAAGAGGTTCAGGTTGCCATAGAACAGGGCCTCGCGAAATCGGTCTTGCCCACATCAAATTTAGTTCTTGCCCCGCCACTGCTTGTTACCGATATAGGTATTGAAACCATAACCATAAGTATGTTGCGAGAGGTTGTATGAAAAGATTATGAAAATGTTAATAGACAAACCTCTTACCTAATTCCTGGCCCGTGTTTTAGGAAATTCTCCAAATTACCAGGTTGGTCTATCGGATAGGAGATCAAAACACATCGAATACTTAATTGCTCAGATTTTATACGACTTCTAGTTGTCAAATGTGAAATTTCATTTAACTTGTGAATTGTGATATTTACAATTTCATTGATATTTATTTTTCGTGACTAGGAAATAACATTTAATTACTCAATTATACTTAACCTACTAAGTGAATGTTGTTTAAGGAAAATATTTGACTCAATTGGGACAGCAGAGTTGAGATCACCAAAAATAAATTGTTGCCGGGTTTTTCCTTAGACAAGTTACCGAAGTTTACTTAAAATTTTCTGATTAAGGTTAAATAAAAAGGTTTTAGTAAAATTTATTATATATTTTTTCACGAGCCATTAAATCTTCATGCAAAATGTTAATGAAAAGAAAAGTTTAAATCCCATCCTAAACAAATAAATTTAAATAATAAATCACCTAGATTTCAAAAAACAAATATTTGTAGCAATGTTGAGGTACTAATAAAGGAGAAAAAAATCATAATTTTAGTAAAACTTCTGAGAAAAATATTGTTTTTATTTTTAAAACGTATATCCAAGTGAATAACATTTATATAGAATCTTTTAATAAATAAGATTTTTTTCTCATAAACTTATATTTTCTATAGGTATACTCAAAAACACTGAATCTTAATTAAATAGATGAGTAGGTACAGGTTATAAACAATGACTAAATACTGTTATTTATTAAATAAAAATAAAGTCCTATGTTACTTATTTTTTTTATAAGTTGAATATGTAAGAGAGACAAGACGAAACCTCTTAGGGAGAGCTTCAACAGTTTTTTTGATTTTTACTTTCATAATCCAAACAAAATATTTTGAACCAGAAAAATAATTTACTACCCACAAGAACCTAGTAACAAATTTCATTATTAGTTATATTTAAATCTTTAATTATATTTATATATTTACAGTTCTAGAAACTCAACGCCAACAAATCCTGATCTTATGGAAAAATATATTATAAACAATGGATAACAACCCACTAAGAGACTTATCAGATTTTAACAAAAAAATAGTTTCACATCCTCTCTATTCACAGATTAAAGTGAGTAATTTTTTTATATTAGAAATAATTAAATGTCCTACACTTGGTCTTAAATATTTTTAGGTTTAAAAAATGTTTGTATACATAAAAGTTTTTGATTTATTCGGTATTTAAATGTAAACATCCAAAACCTAATGTTGAAAATGTATTATTTGTCCTATTTAAATCCTTTCTTTTCTTAAAAGACATGTATGTACTTGTATATACTTGTGTCTACTATATAGTTATAATCAAGCTTTATTTTTATCTCATTTATGTGATTATGATATTGTATTAAAAAATATATTTTTCTTTTAAGGAAGGTCGGATATACACTTTCAATGAAACAAATGAATGCAAAAAAATGTACATAGAAGTATTAGAAAAACTGAGTGATGTGTTATATGTTTTAATTAACAAATTACCTGAATATGAAAGAAAAAGTTGCATTTCAATTTTTACTCTGAAAGAGAAACTCCGAAATGTTTCAGCACAAGAAAATGTTGATTTTAATAACAAGTTATCACCTGAGAGTATGAACTTATTAAATAGTATAGATGATATGACACTTGCACCTACAAATATAGCAGAAAATAAGGAGAATGTGGAGGGCAATATTGATGTTCGTGTTCAGGCGACTATATTATCTGATTCAATAAACCATCAGCAAAAAATCACTAAACAATTTTCTGAATCAGATAATTCCAGTAATGGACGGAAACGAAGCTTTGTCTTCAAACTACCCTCACATCCCGGCGTTTTTAAAACTCGTTGTTATTCATTAGAATTTTATTATAAACATAATTTACAAGGAGGTGATATCGATGGAACCAACACTATAGACTATCAGTCCGAGACTTCCAGACACATTGAGACTGAAACTTTGAATGATTCAAAAGATTTAAACACGGCTACCACTAACCAAATTAACTCTGAGTCCAAAGTAAATAATATTAACGATATATCTAACAATTCAGATATAGACTTGGATGACTTTGATGAATTTGAGGATGATAATTTTCAAGATGAATGGTCAGAACATTTCAAAGAACCCTTTGATATAGAGAATAGGATGTCAAACAATGGAGTGTCAAATACAACAACTAATATTAATAATGAAGATTCTATTGTAACATCCAGCGAACCTTTGCCTGTACAAATAAATCTTCACGACAAGAGTATAGGAGAGTTTGGTGATACTAGAAACGATGGAATCACAGGTATTATAATATTTATTCTTCGCACACACAAAAAAATTAAAGTTACATCAAAATCCTTACTAGACAGTTGCATGCACTCTCTAGAAGCGAATAAACTTTGTATACTCTAGCATAAAATAAATAAACTTGTACTTTGCTGTACGCTTACATAATTTAATTACACATACATACATATATGATATACCTCCATACAAATATTCACAAAAGTTGATATGTAATATCTTAATTATTATTTGATACAAGTGCCATCTATCAAAAGTATACAGAAGCATTACCGGCCTGCCAACACTAGCGCTGCCTTTGCATAATGTAACCGTAAACAGTTGATAAACAGCTGCTTGTTTTGAATACAAATATGTCACAACGAACCTCCTGTAGTATACAGAAAATATACATATGTTGTAAAAATGTATTCATATGTTAGGACTTAGAAAGCTCTGCCTCACGTAACCCCTTTTTAAACCCCCGATGCAAAAACGACGGGGTGTTATAAGTTTGACGCGTCTGTGTGTGTGTCAGTGTGTGTATGTATTCTGTCTGAGGCAACGTAGCTCCCAACCGGGGGAACCGATTTTAGTCCGATTTTTTGTTTGTTCGAAAGGTATATCTGTCGAGAGTGTTCTTAGCTATGTTTGGTGGAAATCGGTTCAAGGTCAAGGTTATTAGCGTTTTATGTAAGATAATAGCTATGTGATAAATTACATACAATCATACATTCTGCCGCAGGATCCAAATGCTTTCGTTACCTAGTAGGTACTTAAAGTGATTTGTATCTCAAAAATACTATTTATCGGTGTATGTGTAATTAAAATAAATAAATAAAACTGCAAGAACTTGATGAACCCCTTAAAACAGATGTGATGTTTTTTTAATATAATATTGTTAATTTTCAGGTGAATTTGATGGAGATGACTATCCACACTCGATCTCTATGATGGAGACTTTAAAAGAGAAATTTGGTTTGACTTCTTTCAGACCAAACCAAAAGCAAGTCATAAACGCAACGCTTCTAGGCCACGACTGTTTTGTTCTCATGCCAACTGGCGGAGGTGAGTTAATTATCTTATTAAGAGATAATTATCTTACTAATATTATAAATACGAAACTTTAAGAAGATATATATAAACCATAACGGTTGTATGTAGTTCACAGACTTAGACGATAAATGTCGCTGATAATAGTCGCTTAAAATTTTCATCAATCTCCCTAATATTGGTATCTATTTTTATCTCACTGATATATAAAAAACTATGACAATTCACTAATTTTCAACTATATTCGTTTCCGTGTACAGGCAAATCATTGTGCTACCAGCTACCAGCCATACTGACCCCTGGCGTCACTATCGTGATATCACCGCTTAGGTCTTTGATATTGGATCAAGTCAACAAGTTATTAACGCTAGATGTGAGTTTATTTGTCTCTTGCAATACCTTATAATCTCGATAACTTAATTAATTCTATTAGTATCCTGTGTAATATCTGGAATTCAAAAAAATATCAGCCTTAAATCCTTCAATGGAAGTAGGATTTGTTCTCGTGATTTATTTGGTCACCCATCCACACTAAGACTACGCACGACGTTGCTTAGCGAACATGATGGTTAAAATTCTAATTCTCTTATTTTTTTTTAAATAAATATACAAGAAAAAAAAGATTAATCACAAATGACACTATGACATACAATGACTGGAGTATAAAACAATGTCGCTATCATATATGTATAATATGATTATTATGAGTATTGAATTTAACTGTTTTCATATAACATGCAAACTATGGAATTAAAATATGACTAAACTATGAAAATGTTGAACAAAGAAGTTCATTCTCCTAGATAATATGTGTAATATATTTGATGCTGAATAATAGTTATTTTAAATTTCATTCAACAGATACCGGCCGCTAGTTTAGGTAGTGATGTTAGTGAAGCCAAGAGCTGTGCCGTGTATGATGGCCTAAACCAACAAGAACCCTCTATCAAACTGCTCTATGTTACACCCGAAAAGATACAATCATCTCCAAAATTCCAAGAAACTCTCGCAAGACTGTATGAAAAGGGAAAGATTTCAAGGTAATTTACTAATTACCAAATGCTAGTACCAAAGCCCTACACTTCCTGGCATTAAATAGTGTTCAAGGTAGTTGCAAATTTGTTCTTAATTGTTCAGTGCTCCAGTAATTTACTTTAAAAATGCTTAAGCTTGTATTTATAGTTTTCAAATACTAGTTGATACTTAAAAGTACTATACCATTACAAAATTACAATGGTTCAGTATATGATTTATTATAATCAGCGATGATAATAGTTCTAAGGATTATAGTATATTATAATTAGTGAAACACGGATGGCACCACTTACACCAATAGTTAATTTTGTCCTTTTAATATAAATAAATAATTTTTCTAAAAGGTGTCTTTTAGTGGAAGCCTCGATCCGTTTTTTGCACAAAATAAGCATTAGCCTATTGTAAAGGTATTGAATGATATTTTATTTGTCTTACAAAAAAATCAAACGGATTCTTGTCGGTTAAACCTACAGTTAATAAGTAATTCTTGAAATTACGTTTCAGGTTCGTAATCGACGAGGCTCACTGTGTGTCACAGTGGGGTCACGACTTCCGTCCGGATTATCAAAAGTTGGGTTTACTAAAGAAAAAGTTCCCTAATGTAACGATAATGGCATTAACTGCGACGGCCACGAAGCGAGTGCGCTGCGATATATTGTATCAACTGAAGGTTAAACAAACACACAAACACACTCTTACATACAACAAATTTACATTAAATTACACACCGAGAGAAGCCAGGGTTTCGTTCCTAAAATCCCGTTAAAACTTTGTGCAAAGGTTTATGAATGTATAACTAGAAACTTTCTGCATGTAATTCAACTACATATTTAAACTTTTCCTATAAGTCCCTGAATACACCCCCTTATATTAACTGCAACTATTGAGCTAACTAAAGTTATAATATTTTTTAACACAGGTGAGTGAATGCAAATGGTTCCTGAGCAGTTTCAACCGACCGAATCTCACTTACACAATTATAACGGACAAGAGGCCGAAACTCGTTAATAAAGAAATAGCTGAACTGATCAAGAAGAAATATTATCAGTATGTTTACAAATACTACTTAAATTGTATAAAAAAAATTAGGAACAAAAAATGTTGGCCACGTTGTATACAGCAAATAATCATATATATCTTAAACATTTTGGTTCATGTGTGAAATTATATTATTTCTTTCTTATTCTTCTTTGCAATTATCCCAGCCTTAGCCAGGGTCTGAATTCCTAGTCAAACTCCACCTCTTTTCACGGCCTAGGTGGTAAGCGACATGCAGAACTCACCTTTTTTCCCCTGTATGCCTCCATCAGACTTCTGATAGTAAAAATGGCGTCCATGGTGCCCGATCCTGGCTGATATCCATATTGACATTTTGAGACACTACACTCTCGGGAGAGCCGGAGGTTGATCAAATGCTCAAAGAACTTCATAGTGTAATTTATAATCTTAACGCCCCTATAACTACCGCAATCTTGAACACTGCCCCTGCCTTTTTAAATAGGGATAATTTTTAAATAAGCATCTGCCCCTCCACAGTTTCAGTTGTATCATATTACGGTGATATCCTGTCACTACGGGTTCTGGCCACAACCCTTTTACTGGCACGTTTCGCTGTACGTATGTACTCTAGTCTGTCTTCAGGAGAGTTAAATTGCTGCCACTCCTTAAAGGCAATCTTCTTTTCACGAATAACCTCCTGCACTTCGTCATTCCACCACCATGTCTCCCTATTAATGACCCGTCCTCCCTAGTAAAGCCTAGAACTCGTTTACCTGCTGTGATAATTGCTGACTGGAGTCGATTCCAACCTTCCAACCAACAGCAAAATATAAATAACAAAAATGCCCACTTAAGTTGTTTTAAATTAATTTATTCAATAATTTTATTACAGACAATGCGGTATAGTGTATTGCTTATCATGTAAAGACTGCCAGAATATGGCTGATGATTTAAGAAGGATGGGCATATCGGCTGAGGCGTATCACGGAAAGCTCGGAGACACAGTCAGAGCTAACGTACAGACGCAATGGCTCGCTGGAATCATTAAAGTGGTATGACATACATATATTTCATGATCGAAGCAGGATTCGAATCTGAGACTTTTATGTAATTTTCCTAATGACTGAACTAGTGAACCTATATGCTAACAAGAATTTTATATAGACTTAACACAGATAATATCGTGTTCGAAGATATATAAGTGAAAAAATGAAAAACTGTAAGCCATTAGCTCAAGAAAAAAATCGATTTGACGCTGAAAATTGTCATAATAATGATAATTTATATAAGTTTTTATAAGTTTTTCGGAGTCATATGTACTTTCTGAGAGTATTTAGACACCACTGACATACGGTGAAGGAAAACATCGTGAGGAAACCTGGACTTATAGTTTCACAATTATAAGTTTGAAATCACCAACCCGTCTTGAGCAAGCGTGGTGATTAATGCTCAAACCTTCTCCACGTGAGAAAGAGGCCTTGCTCAGCAGTGGGCGTTGATAGGCTGATGATGATGATATAAGTTTTGATACAATTATATGATACAAGGAAGATTTAATGTATTTATCTCCCAATTTCAGATCTGTGCAACGCTCGCATTCGGAATGGGCGTTGACAAAGGTGACGTCAGATTCGTCATCCACCACAGTGTACCGAAGTCTATAGAGGCATACTACCAGGAGACGGGTCGGGCTGGAAGGGACGGAAATCCGGCTGATTGTATCTTATTCTATTGTTACGGAGACATTGTACGCCAACAGAAACTCTATTCTCGTTAGTCTATGTTATTTTTTTTTAGTTATAAATTTACCATACTGCTAAGGTAGCTTCGAATTCTGGGAATTGTAACATCGATTTCGTATTCGCCATGAATTCGAAATACGCACATGCAAATCATCAATTATGTATTAAATTATCTTAAAATCTTAATGGTTAATACCATAACACCATTTATTTATAAAATTTATCTTGTTTCATTGTTTCATTTCTTGTTTCACTACTATACTAATGTTTGTAGTTAGAGCGCATTTAAATGTATGTAGCCTATAAAATGTGCTACTTATTTGAATAGTAATTTTATTAAATACATTTTAAAAATTTATTCAGGTGATAGAAATTTAAAGGAGAATTCGAAGAATGTCCACGATGATAACCTTTCACGTATACATGAGCTGTGTGAGGACGTGTTTGAATGTCGCCGAACCTTCGTACTTAGGTACTTGGGAGAGATATTCAAAAGTGACAACTGCGGTCCCAGGCTCTGCGACAACTGTCAACGAAGACCGACGGGCGAGTTTACAGTATGATATCCTACTAATATTATAATTGCGAAAGTTTGTGAGTGTATGTGTATGTTTGTTACTTCTTCAGGCTCAAACGGCTGAACCATTTTGATAGAATTTTGTATACAGGAAGCTGACGTCCAGGAATAACACATAGGCTAATTTACATCCCGGAAATCCGCGGGTAACACCGCGGGGCGCAGCTAGTATTTATAATATAATACTAAAATAACAGGCTTTTAATCTTATATACAATAGTATAATAATAAATATATTTGTATGTCTCGTTACGATCGACTTTAAACTACTTAATATATAAACTATCTGACTCATAAAGTTAATAACTTAAATTCATAGTCTGTTTATGAATTAATTGAATACTATTCGGAATATTTGCGCCGCATGGCCGTAATACTGATGCCGTATATGCGAGAGAAAAACATGACTCAGTTGCGTTACGCGTTACGTTACGAAGCGATTTATCTAACTTTCACTGAGTAAATTTAAATAATTCTCTAGAACCATAGATTGTTTCTTTTTGTGGACCATATCGCTGGGTTCTAAGACTTATTTATGTGTAAATGAGGTTAATATTTAATTATTAAAGCCAGTCTGTCCTTAGCGGCAGGACGTGTCGGACGTGTGTCGGGAGATCGTCTCTTTCGTCGGCAGTCATGAAGGAGTCTTCGCCAGAGTACAACTAGCTAATATACTGAGAGGATCCAAACAGAACCGGTTCAAGGCTATGTTTGATAGCCCTATATTCGGAAGGTAATAATTTATCAATATTTCTGTGCCTTTTATCCATATTTATATGCCTTTTCTTTTATGAATATTTCTATGCCTATTCTTTTATCAATATTTATATGCCTTTTCTTTTATGAATATTTTTATGGCTTTATGGTTAATTTTTTACATGTACAAAATATTTTCTCAGATGCAAGCCGTGGGCTAAGAGTGACGCGGTCCGACTAATACAACACATGCTATGTAAGAAATTCCTCGCTGAGAAAACCCGTGAAAACAGCGAAATGATAAATTGCTACCTTATTCAAGGACCTGATGTGCACAAGTTAGTAATATTTTTAATATATCAGAAAAAATATCCACCTTAAATTTCACAACTTTTTTTTTGTGTAACCTTAAAATTCACTACTTTTTTCATGAATTCATTACTGATTGATTTAATTATAATATTTTGTTTATAAGTCAATTGCTGAGCTGAAGTGCTACAACATATTTATCTTTAACCACAGGCTATTGTCGAAGTCTGAACCAATTATATTCTCTATGCGATCACACACCACTAACAAGCTGTCCACCACGGTAGCGGCGCCTCTCCTACAAGACGTTGACCAACAAATTAAACAAATTGAGGATAAGGCTTATGAAGAGCTCGTGGAGGAAATAAAGTAAGTAGCAGAAATGTTAAGAAAGAATGGAATCTTTATAACAAAAGACTCTTATAAGACTCTTGAGATCGTTGCAAAGTGTTAGGGAAAGTGGCAAGAAAAAGCAATGTATAAAACTCTTAGGTATTGTGAGGAGTGATAGGGATGTAATTCAAATAGGCAATTCAGTTGCACACTAATTGCTTTATTCAAAGGAAGATGTTACTCGAGACACAGCCCGCAACCATAGACAAATGCATACGTAACAAAAACTCAAACGCTTTCAGCCACACAAGCCTTAACACAAGTCCACATCGTAAAACTATAAACTATCTGAATGACGTTTGATGATGCCTATACGTTATAAGGTTATCAGTATGATCTTAAACCAAATCTATACTAATATTATAAAGCTGAAGAGTTTGTTTGTTTGAAAGCACTAATCTCCGAAACTACTGGTTCGAGTTTAATAATTTTTTTTGTGTTGGATAGTCCAGTTATCGAGGAAGGCTGTGGGCTATATATCATCACGCTACGACCAATAGGAGCAAAGATATAGCGGTAAATGTGTAAAAAACGGGAGTAATTATTTCATCTTTTAAGCCGTCCGTTGCGTGCGTCGTGAAAACGGTTCAAGATACACAAAAAATATGTATTAAAGAATAATAGCTCTTTTAATGACTAATAAAACAGTCCTGAACAGTATATGTCTATCTCTTAAGATTAACTCACAAAAACTGTTTTTATGGTACCTAATTAGGTCGAAATAATTTGTTTAAGTTGTATCAACATAATAATATTAATATTTAATCAAAAAACAAATAAATATGTTGTTGGTTAAGAGTACTTCATTGTGAATAAAAAAAAACATAGGTTTTATCCTGAAAATTCTAGGGGAACTCGACCATTCCGAAAACCCCGCAAGAACGGGAACTATGTGGGAAGAACCAAAAATCTGCCGGAAGTCACTATTCCACGCGGACGGAGTCGCGGCAAAAGCTAGTCAATTATAATTAATCCGAAATAATATCGTATTTTTAGCAATATAGCGAAGGAGTCAGGCGTGGCGCCTTGGACGCTGTACCCACAGATGGCGCTACGTGACATGGCGGAGAAGCTGCCGGAAACGGCAGAGGCTATGCTCAAGATACCTCACGTTACCAACGCCAACTATAAGAAGTATGGCTTCCGGTTGCTACCCATCACTTTTAAGTACTTCATGGAAAGGATTAGTGAGTATTCAAATAACATTAATGTAAATATTAAAAGCATATTGTTTTACGTGAGCTCGGGTTCGATCCTGGCTTTGGCAAGTTCCAATGTGATTTTTCCGAGTCATATGTACTTTCTAAGAGTATTTAGACATCACTGATTAATGCATACACAAAGAGGCTCGATGTCAGGCAAGCAGCCGGTTGTTAAAACAATTAGTCAAAATTATTCACAACATGTAAGGCAAAGACCCTTTCAAAAGCTGGGAAATTGCCAGGTAGAAGAAGAAGATTAAAAACATGTTTCTACATTTTTATACAGGGTGACTGGTGAATTACTATCGATACTTGAGGACGTGATATTTGACGATCATATATGACAAAATAAAAATTAATATAACATAAATATTAATAAACTTCTAAGTAAAGTTAACCAAAAGTTATGTAATTAATTACGCATCGTGTGAACACCCTACAGATTAGGTATACACACACGCACACACACACACGTGTGGCGGCGGAGAGTTGTATCAGCACGCGTCCACACGTGGAACACTTGGAACGTATCCACGCTTTATTTATTTATACGGAAATTTGGTCAAAAATTAAGTACCTATTTTTTTTACATAATTCGAATGAGAATCATGTACCGAGTATTCTCCTTAAATATTGATAGTAATTCACCAGTCACCCTGTATATTTCTACATTAAACAAAGGACATCATCTTTTTTGGTCCAAATATGAAAGTGTCGGCCAGTAAAAAAATACAGCATATTCCATTACAACTTGTCCCCTCCAGAGTATTTATTATTATAACACCAAAGCTGTCGGGTCATTATCCTTTGTTTTATTGGAGTTCAAAAACTCAACATCTTCATACATTTTCCGTAAGTTTAATAAACAAAAACAAATGATTTTTTCTACCATATTTTTATTTTGAACATTGTTTAGTAAGATATATTGGTTCTTGACCTATTTTGGACATGTTGATCCTTTTGTGTTTTTGAGGATTATAAATAAAATATATATTTTGTTTAATTAATTATTAAATACTATAAAATCATCGTCGTCTGGTGCAACAATAATGTTTTTCAATCCATAAGCTTGAGTGGTTATTGATGGCTCTGGCATTCTCATACATTCTTGGAAAATTTACGAACTCTAGTATATGTGCAGTCATTAAAGTAAACTGAGCACGTCTGCGATTGTAGTTATGGCGTATTACAAGATCTGCCAATCTTTTTGGCATAATAATTCTTTGGGGAATAATCTCTAAAATCGCAGCAGCATTTGGACTATCTTCTTTGGACAATGTTCAACCATCGCAATCTCGGTCTACCCCTTCGTGATTCGTCGTATGCCAGGTAAAGTGAAGTTAAGCGTTCTTTTGCTTATGTACTGAGGTGGTCTTCTTTTAACATGCCAGTTTTCTTGCAATTTGTCAGCGATGTCGCATATCTTGAGGCTACCATGCACGGGAACGTTCCGGTTCTTGTGGAGCATCGTCACTCCACACATCCACCTTAACATTTTCATCTCCGTCACACGAATGGAATTAACATGCTTTTTTGTCACTGCCCTACTGAAGAAGTTTCTTTTTGCTCTGTATTCTTCAGCTATCGTGGTCATGGCAAATATCGGGTCAATTGTTGACAAACCCAGCACAAATCCATACTGATTTTCGGAGAGGGTCCATAGCAAGTAGACGGTTGTCTATGAATCTCTCTTACAGTTTTATTGTATAGTACATCAACTTAATGCTTCTGTAGTTAGTGCATTCATATCTGCTATCTTTCTCTATGTAGAGAGGAAGATGTAAAATTGTTGAACTAAAATAAAATCAAGGACAATGACCTCACAGCTATGGTTTCATAATAATAAATACTCAGGGGGATAAGTTCTAACGGAATGCAGCATATATTTTTACTGGCCGGCACTCTCATGTTTGGACCAAAAATGTATGAAATCATTTTGTTTTTTATTCTTATAAATTTTGAAGTTTCATATAAAAGTTGACAAAAATGTCTCAACAGCAATGATTTACAGGTTCATTAGCTGACAACAAAAAAATACCAAAGTCAAATACTTGACGATACATAAAATTTACTATCGACAATACTTACAACTGTATCCACAACATAATACATGTTTTGATTTAGAAATCGTTATACAAACTAATAGAAACTGGTTATATGAGTATAATTTATCATCGTAGAAATCGAAATGACTTTACAAGACCAGGGAATTAGCGAAGCCTACGAAGACGAAGAGCCTACCGCGGGACCCTCTACAGACAGCCCTCAGAGGTCCTTTAGAAATAATAAGAGCTATCGACCAAGGAAATCAAAACCTTACAAGGCTGGTGTGAAAAAAACGTAAGTTGACCTTTTTTATATCAAAATATACAGAGTGGCCCAAAACTCAACATCAAACTGAAACGGGGTGACAGGATTGGTTGTCAGTTGTAACCATCATGAGAAAAATCAGAAAGAAAGTCTATGCCATGCAGTTAGGAAAATTATGATCATTTCAGAAATACCTTGAAATTCGACCAGAAAAACCTTAACCATTTATCGTTAATGTTGTTAATTTTGATTATTTTTGTTCGTTTAAACTCTTTAATGGTAACCCTATCTAACATTTCTAAAACCACCGTCAAAAATAATGACACAATTGCCCCGAGTTTTCTAGAATTAAGATAAATATCTTAATTCTTAAATTTGTTAACAAATGTTAACTAAAATTTGATAATTGTTAACTAACTTGTTAAAAAAATGTACTAAAGTACCAAGGCAAGTGCGTTAGATGTTCGTTCGTAAACGTTTTTTCTCTAAAATATTGTATGGAAAATAAATATTAATTTAACATTTCAGATATAAAAAAGACAATAAAACATTCAAGAAGTTTAAAAAAGGTGCAACAGGTATGAAATACAAATTATTATTCTAAATAAAAGAACCATTATAACTTCATAGTAACTAATGTATTAATAACTAAACCTAAGTTTTTGATGTGTCTAGAAATATAAACAGTTTAGTTACTATTAAAAAAATGCTAATACATATTTTATTATTTATCAGGAACTATGCCCCGGCCCGGCACATTTTTTTAATGAAGCAAAATTAATTACTATTGTGATCAACAAATTATCCAATAGGCTTAAGTGTAAGAATATAATATAGAAATTAAATTCTTATAAAATAAATATTATATTTTTAATTGTTATTTTAGTGTTTGTAAAGCTACACCAAATATTAAGTAGTTAAAAATGTTCATTAATTAGTAGTAACTGTATATTTGATTTAATGTTATTGAAAACTGGCCAACGAAAGCAGATAAAATATGTAAATATTTTAGTCATTAATTGTACTATGTCCTAGTAGAGCAGTGAACGAAAAATAGTCACACTTGAATTGTATGGAACAGTTGGTATAATATATTGGTTTTAAATAAATGAAATAAGTTGCTGTGGCAATATAACCAGGTGCAGGTTCATTGACTATCAACAACATTTATTTTGTTTCGTTAGCCTTTTTTGTAATATAATGTGAATGTATCCTTATTTTTGTACTATGAATTTTTATATAATAAAAATGAATTTAATTACAAATTATTTTTTATTATTTATTTTTCTAGTCACAAAAAAATAGCTTTAACACGTTTACATGGGCCAACATTATTCTCGAATATACAATTCTTCCCTCCTCTACATTTCTTAAACTTGACATCACTAACCCTTTCAAAGCGGCCAATACCTCATAAATGGTTTAACCAATTGAAAGTAAGATAAATCTTAAACAAACCACACCACCACAAAATCTATATGAAATTAATTTCATGGCGAAAGTAGACAATTTTCTAAAGGTTACTCTCATACATAGAAGGGAGAGGGTAGTCTGAAATAGAACTGAAAAAAGGTCAAATCTAACAGTTCTGAACCTTAAATCTCCATTAATGCCAGATGATGGCATCTGGCGTTGATGGAGGTCATCTCCGAAAGATGAACTTTTATACTCTGACGACAAAGAAAGGGCTGCCACTACAGGGTGACTGGTGAATTACTATCGATACTTGAGAACGTGATATTTGACGATCATATATGTCAAAATAAAAATTAATATAACATAAATATTAATAAACTTCTAAGTAAAGTTAACCAAAAGTTATGTAATTAATTACGCATCGTGTGAACACCCTACAGATTAGGTATACATACACACACACACACACACACTCGCGCGCAGCGGCGTGGTGTTGTATCAGTACGCCGCGGCACGCGTCCACACTTAGAACACTTGGAACGTGTCCGCACTTTATTTATTTATACGGAAATTTGGTCAAAAATTAAGTACCTATTTTTTTTACATAATTCGAATGAGAATCATGTACCGAGTACTCTCCTCAAATATTGATAGTAATTCACCAGTCACCCTGTATAAGTACATCACGTCATTGACACTGACCCCGTAGATGAAGAATACGTCCTTGTTTCTTCAGTCAGTCTTCAGTTCTGTCCTGGAAAGCTTTACGGTTACGGTTAAGCTGGGCACAAGCCCAAGAACATGTGATGAATCGAGGCCTACTAGTGCCTATTCGACTACCAAACTATAACCAATGAATACTCTACCCTGGCCTTTAAAGTGAGACTCAGTTCAACAGTTACTCTAATAAGAGATGTAATTTGCATACATAGAAAAAATATTAGGCAGCTAATGTTAAGGTCGGATAAACTTAACAATACTTAAAAATTAATTATCACTTTGGTCAACTCAAATCTAGACTCTTAGAGGAGTTATTATTATTATTCTTAGAGGGGTAGCTCTGGAAACAGTATTGACACGAGTCTAATCCTATAAGGAGTTCTTTATTTTTTTATTCTTCATATATATAATCACTGTAGAGAAATAAAAATAAGGCTTAATATCTACACTTTTGGTCTATTCCAAGCAAATAGTGCATTATTATGGTCATAGACCCCCTCCTCCAAAAATGACCACTGCATATAATAGCTTAAAATCTGTCGCGTCTATTCGGATCCTATAGAGGCCCAGAATAGACATCGCGCTCAACGATGCCCTAAGATAAAGGTCGGCACTCGGCATCACAGAGTCAAGCTTAAATGGGGCCTCTACGTTTCAAGACAAGAAAGTTCCAATAACGGATGACCCATTCTCCCTAGTGACGTTTTCGAAAAACAATAGGGCCATATTATGTATAGCAATACATATAATGAAGAGAAGGTAACTTATAAAATGGCAATGATCATATAATAAGGGGGTTTCTCACAATCTCTTTACGATGTTTTGGTTCCGTAACTTTAAATCAGCAAATAAACGGACAATGTATAATTCAGTTAAGTAAGTTGTTTAAAAAAAGTATGCACGATTTAATTACTACTGATCTGAATCGTATATTGAGTTATCTCCATGGTTTTAACGTCAGTCTAAATACTGAAGTAGCTAAGATTAATATCTTTACTAAATTAGCTGGCGTTATTGATGTCCTCGGAAAGTTATAATCATACCCTTTTAAATATAAATGAAATACAAATCTTTTATCAATGTTACTATGTACTTATATACCTATTCTCTAGTAATAGTTATTGGATATTTCATTACGGATCAGAATTTGAAATAATTAAAACTTTCATTTTATTAAATTTACATAAATTATTATCCCTACTTTTACTGATTAAATAAACATCTGTAAACTTCACATCCTGAAAAGAATTATAATCGGTCTAAAATATGGACAACATATTTCATCAAAGTTACGTAGAAAGGAGTTGATAAACTTCATCTATCTATGAAATGTTGTATCTGTCATCTGACATTTGGTTCTAAAACATTCTGCTGTTACCTATAATGTTATACTGTAAGCTAAGCATTTATCTCAAGTTTGTGTTAGTACAAATATTTATAACAGATTGATAATGTAAAATGTGAATATACCCATGATGATGGACCAGTGATAACGTAGAGAGTAACAGAAATGTTGATTTGGTTCAGGAGAAGAATAATAACGTTAAAATGTTAATAAAAATTATTATTTTAACGTTCAGCTCGTTATTTATACTCGTTTCACCCACGCATATAAAAGGAGAATTTACGACAGATACATTCTTTAAATTTTTAGTAAAGTTTGGATTTCAGAAGACAGATCTCCATTTCCACAAGGAAACATATGGTTACATTTTCGGTAACTTGACTTCAAAAGAGACATTTAAATATCCTATTACGTTTGCGGTGTTAGATCGCCCGCATTTTTTGCATTATTACAAAAGCCGAGACATTTTTGATAAAGAAGTAGCATGTCAGGTTATGTTTCAACATTTAAATGGTTCAGCATACCATCCAAAGTGCAATGCATATGGTCAGGACTTGTTTCGAAGGATACCGTGTCCAGTAGGCAAACTATGTGTCGATGAGGATACACCATGGAATGTTATTAAAAATAACCAATTTACTTATGTCATACAAAATAACGGACAACCAAGGTATTGAAAATATTCAAAATATATTCTTAGTTTAGTTTACAATTTAAAACCTATACATAACATAATGTTTATTTTCTTGTTCTACTTCAGATATTAGTATGTGTCGATAGTATCTTGTTATTTGGATGCAGAAACATGTTCCTGGCATCATTACTCTGGAGCTGCGTCAAAGGACAACACTACTCTCACAGATATCCCACAAACTCTAGAATATGATTTCTGGCTTGTTAACGGAAGCCCGAATCTGTCAATTTATAATTCTATGTTATATCAGTTTTCATTTGACAGACAGAACACTTTAGAATTATATTTAATGTTCTGGCTCTGCTATATTATTTTATTACCTGTTCAGATATATGCTGTGAGGTAATATGTAGCAATGTTATTGGGATTTATTAGTGTTCTACTGATATTAATATTTGGTTCTTTACAATTTTCAGAACCCAGAGACATCCTGTGACTAAATAATTTACATCAAGCTTGGTGTTAGAGTTCATAGCTCTGTGTTTTAATGTACTTCACACAGTAAAATTTGCTGCGGACGGTGGAGGCTTTGAAGGCCTGTCTGTCTCTGGTGATATTCTTGATATACTGAGTAGGGTAAGATCATTTAAATATATTCTTGTTTTTCAAATTAAATAACTTTGTTTGGTAAATACAATTTTTTTGTTTTTATAATATATTTATATATTCATATATTTCTAATACTAATTCCACTTTTTCACTGTTATTAAAAGTATTAATGTTTATATATTTCAATATTAATTTTTGTATATAAATAATATATTCCTTCTTGTATCTGATAACATCCTTCATAGATAATCCTGCTTTGTGATATGATGTGTATTATATATCATATCTTTGAAAGCAAATAGTGAT